TGTATTCATTGTAGATGTTCCATCCAATAAAATGCTACTAGGTCTTTCTAAACAGCATCCACTTTCTTGATGTTTCTCTTTGAAAAGCTGTTAGGTGTATCAGGTGAGTTAACGTGACTCTGACCAAGATTCAGCATCAGACCTGAACCATCAACAAACCTTTGGTTCTGCAAGGAAGTTCATTTATGTTTTACACACCTAGATTAGCCGTTCAAAACTTTTGAGCTTCAAAACATGCTACCTCAGATTTACCTGATTTGGCGATACAAACGTGCTTAAAAGCCTAAATATTTCAGGGTATGAAGAAAAAAGGTCCAGCTCATATTTCATCTGATCCATTTATGAGAATTTAGTTGAGTTTTTGTAACAATTATGTTGGAGCTAAAGCATCAGCAACTGTTTTTCAAATTTACTTGGATTTCTGGAAATCATCTGAACCTCCTGTGTAGCACTAGATGACCCACAGCGGCATCTTGACCCCAACTTTGGGAACCACTGTGAAATGGACAATTTTCTTCCATTAAGAATCGTCACCAATAACCAGGATTCATAAATTTTCCTCCTCATCTTCTCACAAGCTCACAGTTTATCAGCGTTTTCCTGCCCGATCGCCACCAGATTGTTAAAATTGGAGCGTATAAAGTTTCAACCTGCTTGTATTCCAGCCCAGGGGTGTGCAGCGGGTCTTGTAAAGTCATTTAGCGTAGCGGGACCTCTGAGTGAGGCCTCCACACACGGGCTTTGTGGATCGATCCACTCGTCAACACAAGAGCAGACCTGTTATCACACACACAGAGATGTGTGTGTGTGTGTGGCGGGGGGGGGGTTGGAGTGAGATGATGAAACGATCACTATAACATCTGATAGAAATCTCCGTGACTCTGATGTGAATAACATCTCACTCTGGACCGATGGTTTCCTTCGCTCCAGTGGAAAGCTTCACAGCTCAGAGAAGCCGACTTAAATCAAGATCTCCATGACGATAATTTGTTTTGACCGCCTCATGACAATGTTCCTGCTTGTTCATAGAAATAAATAATTCATTAAAACTCAGAATGGCATGTTTTCAGTTATTTAAAACAAAAAGCCAAAATGTAAGTTAAGGATTTATGGGGACTGGGAACGATGGGAGGAGGGGAGCAGTGACCTTCCTGGGTGTGGGTACGAGGTGGGGCTGGCACTGCTGGGAGAGTCTGATCCATTCCAGTGTTCTCACATCAGTGCTGTTTTCTCTTTGCATCTGACTCTGGGAACTAAATGTGTCATTGGTCCTTTTAGGGCGGGTCCCCCACATCATAAAATTACCAGAGAGTTTTAACAAGCTTGGCTCAGGAACAAAACTACATTCCTCTTACATAAGTCGTTGGCTGTAACGTTATCCTAAATGTGTTGAAACAAAGTGAAAACAGTGACCTTTATATTAGTGAAAGTGTCTCAGCATGAGACAGCTCATGCATGTGAGAGGAAAGTACATCCTCGAGCTATTTTGTGTGCTGATTTGACTTTTTTCTAAACCATGGACTCACGAACTGCTCCAGATATTATTACTTTCAGGTTTAAAAAAAATTCTCAGTCTGGTCAACAGAATCCAAGTAAAGCAATAATATACTAAACACCTAATTAAAGGATTAGAGCTGTCGCTCCACAATGCTAATCTGTTCGTAGAGTTTTAATCCCTAATATCTTTGATTTATTGACTCAGGGATTCCCTAAGTGTGGTGCGCGCGAGCTGCCGCTAGGGGGTGCGCGAGGTGAAAAGTGTAATGGCTGCGGAGCTCAGAGAAGTCTGTCTTATGTCACCATTAGCGTAGCCAGAAACTCATTTGTGGGTGGGCCTAAGAAAAAGTAAGTGGGCCCAATAAATGCAATTGAAAACAAGTATATTTTGCGTGCTTGTGTGTGTCCTCCGCATGTGCCCTAGCTTCATAATAATAATGCGCTCCAAGCTTCAGCACTCTGACCTGGGCACGCTGTCAATAGCAAGATATGTTCCGCACAGCGCGCTGAAGATCTGAAGTTCAGAGTGCGCCTGTCAGAGGTCAGATGCGTTCCAGCGGAACCACGGCTCACGGGTGCACATGTGAGCACATCTGGGCTGGGCAGAAGTAATTTTACAACACTGGTTTAAATAGCGCCAATAACGAGACGCAGTGACTGAAGCGGCTCATGGAGCTGTGCCGCACACACACACATACTGATTCGACAAGCGCATGCTGTGCTGCGCCGTCAGACTGAAGGCAGAGATTAGCGCTGCCTCCTCCGTGATGAAAACTTTTAAGAGGTTTTATAACAACATTTTTCATTCAATGTCATAGATATTAGCTTCTATTTTGGGATGACTTATGAAATTCGAGTCCGCTCCAGCCAGTGACTCCTCATGAACCTGACTACAACTCATGCAGCATTTGTTGTTCCAGTCCGCGTGGCAGCGGATCGCAGATTCAGCCACACCATAAAACAGCAATAAGTCGGTCTGAGGCAAAAGTGAACCTCATGGCTATAGCTTTTCCATCTTTTCTCCTATAGACATTTGATTACGCACAAGTAGGTGGCATGTTCAGGTTTACGCAGAGCAGAAGGAAGGAGAGAGCTCTGGTTAAACATTCCTGCTTTAAGAAAACCGTTAAATTGCATTGTTTATGTGCTATCTGGGCACTCTAAATATTGATTTAAAATTAAATCAAAGGAAATTGTAATGGTATTGAATGTTTATTTATTACTGTTTCAAAAATACTTGATACATAAACATGAAAATGAAAGTGATGGGAAAAAGGTCGATCATATTTTTTTTAACCTTGTCTGTCGAGTGACTGCTTAGCGTGACATTTGACATATATATATATATATATATATATATATATACGGTATATATATATATATATATATATACGGTATATATATATATACGGTATATATATATATATATATATACGGTATATATATATATATATATATATATATACGGTATATATATATATACGGTATATATATATATATATATATATAGCCATGCCCTGATGTGGGGCTGGAGGGTGCGTCGACATGGTCGGGACATAGAAGGGGGTTCGTGGCTAAATAAGTTTGGGAACCACTGATCTAGATGTTATGATTTTGAAAAGTGTTAAAAGTCTTAAAGGGATGTTCCACCCCATATGTGAAATGTAGTTTTTTGCCATATTTCCTAGAATTCCATAACTGGGAAAAAGCATTTTGTTACCAGCCCAACCATTCTTCAGATCTGGCAGTTTGCTTTAGCTTAGCATAAACAATGTAAGTGAATGGTAACAGCTAGCATTTCAATCATTTAAGTTGAAAATGACACCTATGTCCATGAACACAAATGCACGGCTACTAGACTTGTACTTTGCACAGTTTTTGAAGAAACAGGATTGAAAGTTGTACTAAAATGGCAGACACCAGACAGATTAAGTAGGTGTCATTAGGGTCCACTTTGTAATGTTGTTGCAGTGGCAACTTACAGCAGTGCTTTGTCGGCTCCTGTTATTTCTTTGTGTTACTTATTATTTTCATTTGTGGTTGATATGATTATTGAGGTCACCAAGAAAAATTAGGATCATTATTAAATAATTTCCATCCCTTTTTCATGAAATGCTAGCTGTTACCATTCACTTACATTGTTTATGCTAAGCTAAAGCTAACAAAATACTGCCAGATTAAAATGCTTTTTCCTACTTGTCTAACTCTGGGGAATATGTCAACAGAGTAAATTTAAATTAGGGATGGAATATCACTTTAGATGTGAAAATGTGTCAATATTGAATAACAAGCCTCGTGATTTTTACCTTGAGAAACGCTGTATAAAAGATCCTTTTCTTTCTTTGATTTTAATATACTAATGGTATATAATGTAATAATAACAGTGTATTTAACAAAATAGGCTGATAATTTTGGGAATTTGAGAGTGGGTTGTTGGTTTTGATCCCATGTCATTCTGACACTTGGCGTACCTTGCACTCTCTCTGTGTTGCCAAATGCATAAAGTATAACAGCTGGAGATGGTGTGCAGCTGTGCCTGTGTTCAGGTGAAAAACTGAGTTATGTGTTTAATTTATCCAAACAGGATGTCAATTCAGTCCATTTTCCTGAAGGACTTCTGTTTGGAAAAATAGAGTTTATGTCCTAAAAGACTGATGAGCATCAGGCTAGTCTACAAGACCAAAGTAGGTTACTATCAGAGGCTGTTTCATACAGAAACACCCTTCAGAAATGTTTCTTTAAAGCTTGTGGTGGTGAAAAAACAGAGGACTGGATATGGAAAATGAATTGCATGATGTGCGTGTGTGTGTGTGAGGAGGGATATGAGAAGTTGTCCTAAACAGTCAAAATGTCCTACTGTGTGCTTTGAGTTCAGATGAAATCACGTTTGGTGTGTTTTGCAGAATAAATAACAGGCTTGACCTTTTCCAGCATCGACAGTTAACGTTTACAACATGCTCATCTTTATTCATAGTGTGTGTGTGTGTGTGTGTGTGTGTGCTCACTCACCAGCCCCACAGGCTCTCTCCTGTGGCTGAGACAGTTTCACATTATCATTATGGAGCTTTTAGCTCCTAAGTGCAGAGGAGGGCCGCCGTGTGTTGTTGTTTGTCATTTCACGTTGTCAGTAGTGGTTACAGAGCAACTCTAAGTTTGTTTCTTATGGAAAAAGCAAACATGAACATTTGCTCCGAACTGATGATAACAAGGATTTATTTTAGGGAAGTGGAAACCACAAAACCTATTAGAGTTTATGCATAAATCACATGTTTTACACGCTTGAAAGATTTCCGTGGTCGACCTTGGCACGGCGTCTGTGAAAAGCATATCCGCTCATCATCGTTGGCTGCTGTGTGTTTAAATGGAAAATCTGTTTGTAAATATGGACTCTGGTCTTATTTGGGTCAAAGCTTTGAGACGGAACTCTGAATGATACAATGATGTGGTGGATTCTCGTTTGAACATCACTTCAACAGGAATTTCCGTGTGTTTTCGTCCCACAGTGGAGTACGACAGGGAGCTCTCCCCGCAGCGGCGTCACCACAAGGAGTTCAAGTTCAACCTCTCACAGATCCCAGAGGGCGAGGCCGTCACCGCTGCCGAGTTTCGCCTCTATAAAGAGTGTGTGAGTGGAGCGTTCCGCAACGACACCTTCCTGCTCCGAGTCTACCAGGTGGTGAAGGAGCATCTTGACAGGTAGCACTTCTTCTGTCCTTTTGGATGGAGCTTTTTAATTCTAACCTATAAGCAGATTCACACAAATAGCACAAAAGATGTCAAGTCCAGTGGTGCACACAGAAACGTTTCACTGGGGGGGGGGGGGGGGGGGGGCATGGCCCCCAGTGGCCACCATTTGGGGACACCACTGCTAAAAAAATCTACAAAATGAACTCACTGTTTTCTCTTTTTTCATGTTTGTAATGGAAAACTGAGCAAAACAGAAATAGCACAGTTTAAGAATCATCCATCCTCTAAAATGGGCACAGCTAAAACACGCCAAACATTTACCGTACATCTACAGGGCAGGGTTTCTGAGAAACAACAACATAACATTACTGTTTCAGAAGAAAAAAAAAGGTTTCAAACAAAACATCAGCTGTATGTTGCTTTAGCACATTTCTCAGCGTGAAAAGGTTCATTTAGCATGGCAAGCTACTTATTTGCTGCATTCCTTTATCCCCCTGTGTGGTTTCAGCACTCCCACCTGGAAGTTAGACCTTTTATTTTTGGAGATATTTGGAGATTAAAGGGCTCGTATATATCTCCTATTTCTGTATTATTGTAGGCTAGGTTTGGCACCTTGAAGTTAATTATAGGCTGGATTACTCACGAGGACGCGTGAAAAAACAAAAGTAGCGTAACGAGAAGACTGGAAAACATTTACGTTTTAATTATAAAAGTTATGAGATAAAAGTGAAACAAACACCTTCCAGCCGCGCTAAAGTTGGAGCCATTTTGTAAAACCGTACCTTTGTAATTGCCTGATCTGTGGGAGGCCTAATAACTTTCCCGTGCCCCTCCCTCGTGTGAAAATGCGACTCCTGTTTTGGCTCTTAGCCATAATGACTGAGGGCTTAATTAGCTTGACACCCTTTGTAGTTTTCATTTGACTGGAGCGGTTTCTAGACCAGCAGGAGGAATGTGACACGAGAAAAGCCGACGGGCGTTTTTAGAAACGTGTCTATGTCCAGTTTTAGTTCAGACTTAATAGATGTATGAACTTCTGAATAATTTTCCTCCAGAAATCCAAAGCAGAGGACTCTCCCACCTCTCGCTAACAGAAGCAAATGCATTCTGCTGGACTTATGAAGCGATTATGCTGTAAAAAAAGCCTCTTGACCTTATTATTCCAGTTCATTTGAGTCATCACTCAATAAGGAGTGTTATAATGGTAGCTCAGCAGGTGGCTCCCTAATGGACGCCCCGCTGTTCTTTCAGAATTGTGTAACGATGAAACAGATACATCAGCTGGGATGAACACATGAATAGGAAGGTGAGGGAGCTTGTCAGAAACACCAATGAAGCGGGGCTGCAGAGACACGACTGCAGGGGTTTTGTGGGAACACCTGGATGATTGCGAGGCTTTGATGTTGGATCTGGAGGACGGTCCGACAGAGTCGCTCCTGTGTTATTACTGCTGGGGTGGGAAGATAGGCCCTCTTATCACTCACCCGCTGCCTTTTCCTAATGTCCTTTACTCTCTTCTCATGAAAGAGTCACACTTCTTCTCCATGTCTGACACATTCGTTCTGACTCCTTCACACCTAAATAATATCAACACGCACAGAGATGAACGAAAACTTTGACTTCCGGCCTTTTCCATATGAGACTAAAGCATCGGGGGAAGGACAAGTGAAATCTTGAAGGCTTGTTGTCTATTTGTGTGATTTGAGTGAGCGTGAAACCTGTTATTACAGTTTTAGGGATTTCTAAGCTGCATTAAAAAAAAAACCTTTAAGCATACTGGAAAATATTTGTTTTTAATCGACTTAAGGTACAAAAACACTTTGGTAAAGTATTCAAAACATTAATTTTCATCTTGGTTCTAGCAGAAAGTGGGGCAGGAGTAGCTCAGGTGGTAGAGCGGGTTGCCTCATGATCGGAGGGTCTTGAGTTCTATTCCAGCTCCCGCCAGAGGTATTCTGCTGTTGTGGCCTTGGGCAAGACACTTCACCCAACTTGTCTGTGTTGGTGGTGATCAGAGGGGACGATGGCACCAGATGGCAGCCTCGCCTCTGTCAGACTGCCCCAGGGCAGCTGTGGCTACATAGTAGCTTACCATCACTGGCAGTGTGTGAATGTAAGAGTTCACGCAAGCGTCTTTGAGTGTCCTAATTTTGCGCTATATAAGTTTGATGATTATTTAGATAATGTTGATAGAGTATGACCCCAACAGTCAGGGAACTGCTTAATTCTAAACTGGATCAAAATAGGATCAAATGTGATTAAATTAGTGAAACAAATGAATAAATTTTAGACTTTTTTGCACATTCAGAATTTTTTGTTCAGGTGTGTGTGTGTGTGTGTGTGTGTGTGTGTGTGTTTGTGTGTCTGCTCTGTCTTCTCGATCTTCAGTGAGTCGTGGAGGATGGCTGCTTGTACTGAGCCAGGATTCTCTGGAGGTTTCTTCCTGTTAAAAGGGAGTTTTCCTCTCCACTGTCACTAAATGCTTGCTTAGTATGAGGATTGCTGTAAAGTAACTGACACAAGTCAGTGACTCGATGCAACCTGCTGGGTTCCTTATATAGGAAACTTTTTACCGATTGGCTTAATGAACTGACCTGCATTGGAATGTTTACTATGTGAGGTGCCTTGAGACGACTCTTGTCGTGATTTGGCGCTATATAAATAAACTTGAATTGAATTAAATTGAATTGAAACCCTTACTTTGTATCTCACCTCGGCTTTCCAGCAGATGCAAACGGGTTGAAACGAAAGAAATAAATAAAGAAAGAAAGAAAGAAAGAAAGAAAGAAAGAAAACAATCTTTTATATAGCACCTCTTACGATCAATAAATCACGAGGCGCTTTGCAAAAACAAAACAAAACAAAAGAAATTTAAGTATAAAAAGATTTAAAATATTGTTCAAAATATTATTAAAAATATGTTTAAAAGGAGAAAAAATGTAAGGAATGGGAGAGAGAAAATTAATAGGAAAGAGGGAAATCAATGGATCCTGGGAAAGGTGAATCAAGAACAGAAAAAGGAGAGGGTGGTGACGAAGGTCACACCAAAGCCAGCCTGAACAGGTGACTTTTGCTGGTGTGTGCACAAGGGTTGAGACGTCCGCGAAGCAAAGCACTTACGTCCCAGAGGCGTAGGGGGCATAGCTCTGCTAAATTTATGCTTCAAGTCTACTAACAAAAGCAGTGTTAAGCATCTGGAATACTTTCAAAATAAAAGTCACTCACAGATTTCCAGTAAAAAAAGGTAAGTCATTATCTGTGAAACATAGTCGAGGTAAACAAAACAGAAAGTAAAGCACATGCTGCCATCTTTGTGCGGGATTGGCCCAAATCTTTCTGTTTAAACTATTTTCTCATTTTAAAAGACAAAAATAGCTTTTTTAAAATTTGTATTATTAAACGTTTGAGTTAGTAGTTTAATTTCTTGTTGATTAGAGACAATGTTGCTCTTCCCCGTTGCTTTCAGAACCATGCTTTTCTGATAACTTTATGTCAAAACAAATCTGAATAGATGCATTTAAACCCAGAAAATATACAACTGCATTTGTGGTCTCTAAAAATACAGACATGTGGTATGGAGAAATTGGAGGAGCTTTTAAATGAACTAGAAATATGGTGGTGGTGGTGGTGAGAGCTAAATTATTTTCCTGATGTTTTATCAGAGAGGCAGACCTGTTCCTGCTGGAGTCTCGCAGGCTTTGGGCTGCAGAGGAGGGCTGGCTGGAGTTTGACATCACTGCTACCAGCAACCTGTGGGTGATGAGCCCACGGCACAACCTGGGCCTGCAGGTCAGCGTGGAGACCAGCAGCGGTGAGATATCCGGTTACTGTTGTGTCCTGATCGCCATGATGTAAACCTGCTGATTATTATTATTTTTTGAAGCAGGGCAGAGCATCGGCTGTAAGGAGACGGGGCTTGTAGGGCGTGACGGCGCTCTGGAGAAGCAGCCTTTCATGGTGGCCTTCTTCAAAGTCAGCGAGGTGCATTTTCGCTCCGCCCGCTCCACCGGTGGAAAACGTCGGCAGCAGAATCGCAACAGATCCTCACAGCCGCGAGAGAGATCCAGAGGGCTGAGCCCTTTAGGTCAGTCTACCGTTGGCTTGCCTCACCACTCTGAGCAGCAAACACAAACCCTAACATAACCGCGGTGCATCTATAACCTATGACATCACCGGCCTAGCAGCTCGTGCTCAGTCTAGCTGAAGTAGTTCCCTTTGAAACACTCGATAACTTTGACCCAGCTAGTGCAGGGTCTCTTTAAAATCAGCCCCCATGGAAGTGAAACAGGATTATTTACACCATTTATTTTTCCTGGAGCTTCCCTGTATGGATTAAGGGAGGTGGAGTAAATCCCAAAATCTGAATCTTGAGTTAGGAATGTCTCGGTGGATGGTAATGAGATTTATGAAGGGGGCTGAGTTGGACTGTTGGTGGGAGGTTTGGGCCGTAAATTTGACTGAGAAGATTTATTTGTTGAAGACAAATGAGTGGTGTTGGGCACATGTGCACACGGGGAGGAGACGTTACTTTGGTCCACTACAAACAGGAGGATAATTATCACAGAACAGTGGAGTAATGTTTATTCATTGGTTCATCGTGACAGGTGACCTCATCCTTCAACTTCACTCTCATTTTCAACACAAACTACTAATCAGATGATGTAACGAGGAAGAATGATCCAGAATATTCACCCGATGTGTTATTCAGGATTACGGTTTTGAACCTCACAGGTTAACTTCCTGTTTTTGGTCACAGCTGCAGCCCAACGAGCCTGTTGCTAATATTGCTTTGATACTGCACCAGACAGATGGTCCTCCAGCAGCACTGAATGTCATGTTGGTCGTGGCTCTAGGTGGTCCAATCTGTGGAAACGAGCAGAAGTGACTCGGATGTTAGCGTCTAGCTTTTTACATGCAGCAACTAGCTTCTCGTTCATTTAAAAGATGCATGTTGGATTAAAAAAGTAAAAATTCATTCCCATTTTAAAAAGTCACTTCATGGACTGTGTTTTACATACCACCTTCTAGAGTCCTAGAACCCCCCAAGGCACTTTACAACACAATTACTCATCCACCCATTCACGCAGATTCACACTCCGATGGGGATGAGCTACGATGTAGCTACAACTGCCACCGGTCCCTCTGACCTCAAGGTGGATCAAATGTCTTGCTCAAGGACACAACAGCATTCTCTGGCGGTACCTTCAGATCACTGGACAACCTGTTCTACCTTCCTGAGCTACTGCTGCCCCTTCTACTAAAAAAAGCAAAAACTTTTAGTACATTTTAGCTCCTCCAAATGTGTTCTCTGTCCAGACTGGATGTATAATCCCTCCAGCTGGGTTCTTGGGCTGATTAACAGGTCACAAGGAGGCATCCTGATGCCTGAACCACCTCAGCCAAGAATCCTGGATGTAGAGAAGCTCCACTGTTGCTAAAGCTCATCCTATGGAGGAAGCTCGTTTCAGCTAGCCTGGCAAGCATGCAGTTAAATTTAGTCTGGCCGTGACCCGTAGACAGAGTTCAGTCATGGGATGGACTCTACGATTGTCTTTCAAACTGTCTTCACATGCAATTGCAAAGTGCTTGGACCAATCAGAGCAACAAACAACATGACATATTTGTAGTAACGGAAATCGGTCAACGGGGCTGCCCGCCATGCACAGAGGTCGCAGAAGAAGCAAATACGACCTTCTATCTGCTCATGTCTCAAAGAAACGCCCAAGTCTAAACCATCCAAAGTTAATGTCAAAGCCATTTTAAATGAGCACCGTTCCTGAGCTGACGCCATCTTTGTAGTTTTTCTCTGTTGCAGCTCTGGAGCTAAGCCTGCTCATCGTCTCTCTACAAACAGAGCATGTGATTGACCAATGGTAGACCTGCTGAGGATACAATGGAGAGTGGCTAGACCAACCTGCAGAGCAAATCCTTTAGCTACTTCTGCGGTTTGTTCAGATTTCTAGGCTACATTCCAGCTGCTGCAATCTGAGATCTGGTTGTTCTGACCATTGTCCAAATCTCCTGACTGTAGATGAGGGTTGAGATGTAGGTGGAGCAGTCCATTGTGAAATTAGCCTTTGGTTGTGGAAGCATTTGACTTGCCTTCAGGTTTTAACTAGTTACATAAACATACAGACTACATACAATATTATATTTATGTGTTTAAATGTCCCACAAACCTGCAGAAGTTCGGAAACCAGCTTCATTCGCTCCAACCTCACCTGTTCGCTGTACCTTGAGGAAGCGATGCACCAGAATAGACTCATGTTATTCCAGCCAACATGCTGCAAACTAAGGAGAATGATTTACCTGTAAATATTTTAGTAAGCACACCTAAAGCTCATCCAACTCTGGAGCAGAACAGACTCACTTTTTGCTTCCTGGTGCCAAAACCCAGCTTAATGCACTGAATCAGAGCTGCAAACACCCGTTTTGGCTTTCTACCTGGGAAGCAGTTTACCTCTGCTTCGCTTGGTCGGCTCTGCCTAATGGCTCTAACATCTGCACGGTAAACAGATGTATCTGTGGGACAGGTTGGCTTCGGTCTCCACAAATACGCCGCTGACTCTGTTTTCTGTTCACAGCGACTTCCTTCAGAGCTGGAGGGTTCGTTTGTGAGTAATAATGTTAGATAAAAGCTTTAGCTGACACACCGTGGAACAAAAACTCCTCATTCATCATCCCGGAGAACACTCGGTGTTCCTGTTTGTGTGTCAAGAGGATGAGAACATTTTCTGAGGCAATTTTGTTCAAAGAAATGCTCCAACAATGACAATCTGTTAAAAACGCACTTTACATAACCCAAAACATCAAGACCTCTTCTGCCGCTCCACTCGGGACGACTGGGAGTGTAAATATTTAGATCTAACACAGGAAGCCGGGAGGACCCCCCCTCCAGCGACAGCCGTGTGTCCGCGGCCAATAGAGGACTGCTGGGATTGGATGGGATGAGAGGATGTGTGAGGAATTCTGGAGGGCATATGGTTTCAATACGGCATCACTCACACCAGAGACGAGGAGGAGGCCATGATGGATAGGGAGAGCATCCGTCTTGGGAAGTGCTCATGGGGAGAAGCGAAATGTGAACACGGCCCCTCGGTGTGGATTTGGCAGCACGTTGGTTCAGGCCACCGCAGAGCCAGCTAAAAGGAATATTTCACCCAGATTTCACCTTCACAGCTTTTCCAAATAACATCAGATCTAAGGCCGGAGGGCAGCAAGGAGTTTGTTTTTCATTTCAAATGTCTACACAAGCTTCCGCATAGATGCTTTCAAAAACTTTCCTCAGCGCGACTGGATGTATGTGGTGTTTCTTCTGAAAACACCCGATTCAGGTAGTTAGCCAGCCTCTCGATAAGCAGAAAACCTCTTTTAACCTGAAGGCACTGCTGCTTTAAGAAACCTTTCCTATGTTCCTTATTTTAGAGTTTAGTTTCATAAGCATGTGTGATTAACTTTAATCCATGTGATAGAAGAAGATTGGATTAGCCAAACGAATGTTATGTTTAAAGAATAAATAAAGGAAACCATCCATTTTTTTTACTTCCTTGCAGCAGACCAGACCCATTTTTCAGATTTTTTTGTACAAACGTGTATTTTTTATTCCCATTCTCTTACATTTGTGGTTATAATAAGGATGTTTGAGTATTTGTGACTAAAACTTGTGGAAACTAGTGGAAAAAGTTATTGCATTCATAAAAAAAGAACAATAGAACACCTTTAAAGATAATTTTAGTGGTTGGAAAAGGCTTGGTAGGTAACCGGAGTCGGGTTGGGCTGCGGGGGAGGTTAACAGCCATCCGGGGAAAGAATACTACGTCCCGGCTCAGCCCTGGCGGCCTGTAATTAGGCCTAGCCGGTCATTAGCTGCACAGCTAAAAGACTGACCAAGCTAACAGTATCGCTTAAAGAATTATAATAACACGGCACTGAGCCAGCTGTGTTTTTTCATCTGTTGCTCCTCTCCTCCCTCCTCTCCCCTCTCTTCTCTCCATCCCCACCCGACCTCGTTTTGTTTACCGCCAGAGTAATTAGATGTGGTGGAGCTCCCTCGCAGGGTTTAATAACCTCTGTGATGAAAGACAGGAAGTAAGATAAACTTCAGCAGAAAGGTTGGAGGGAAGCGAGAGAGAAGAGTGGCATTCTGCTTTCATGTCTCCGGGACTGGTCGGTCTGCAGCCTTCAGGCTTTTGTCACGTTTATAAGAAGTCGTGTGGTTGGGTTGAGTCCGTGACGTGGAGTGGTTTGAGACGCACAGACACAGATTTTTTTTTATGTTTCTGAGTCAAACACAGTGGTTTAACATATGAAATGGCACCAGTTGAGTTTTGTGTTTTTGGAACAACCTGTTATAAATATAATTTACAACTTTTTCCTCACAGAGGAGCCGCGGAAACCGCTTGATGGGCTTTCATGAATGACGTGTAGTGTGGAGAAGGTTCGTAGCAGACCAGAGTGCTTATGAAGAATCAAAAGTCTCACCTTAAAATAAACTCCTCACTGGTGTTGACTGAGGTAGCCCCTCTCCTGTTGAAAAGGCAAGGTGGGATCAGACAATTAAATTAGTTTTTAGAAAGTTTTGATGTCAAACAATCTAATGGAATGTTTTTCTGCTGACCAAGGCACATTTAAGGTTAAAAACTAAGAGCTCAGTGGGAAGACTACCAGCATTCATGAACTTCTCAATAAAGGAAATCCTGATTTATAGCACTGGAAACTTAAAATATTGTGTAGTTCAATGAAGTAAATGTTTTTTTTCCCTCTATGTGAGGAAATATTTATTTTGACTGTTAATCTGCCTCTGAGAAAAGATTACAATAGTACTTTTCACTGATTTGTTTATTAGTCTCACTTCCTGTCTAGATTAGATTAGACTCTTTAAATTAATATTTTCAATGAAGAACAGATTAACTGGACAAATTTGAGTCGAAAAGATATTTTTCAGCCATCTTAAATATGGGCTTCTACATTTACCTTTTAAGTAATTGTCACCTTATGTCTACAGGACTGATAGGCTATGGGCTAGTCTGGGTACAACCATGGAGGGGGCCATCGGCTTGAACACTGCTGCTAACCACTTAAACA